TCTGTACACAGAGATATATATATATATATATATATATATATATATATATATATATATATATATATATATATATATATATATATATACAGTATATGCATCTTTTTATATATTAGTATGTTTTAGTAGTGTTTTAGTATGCAAGTTCAAATTCTGTAATGTGATGTGGTCACTACCAAAGCATTACTGTCACTACCGAAAATGTGCAGTCACTATCGAAACATGGGATGTTTTGTCAAAGATAAAGTATACTGAATTATCAATTAAAATGTTATGATAGTTTTTGGTTCAATGTATATTTAAACTAATCCAAAACTTTTAAATCAGTATGATCAACTTTATGCCTTTTATAAAGAAACATCAGATTCAAAATACAACAAATGTAATAAATTGCACTTGAAATATTGTTGAAAATGTAATTGGTATTGATTTACCTTTGACAAAATACAAACCCAATTCCAAAAAAGTTGGGACACTGTACAAATTGTGAGTAAAAAAGGAATGGAATAATTTACAAATCTCATAAACTTATATTTTATTCACAATAGAATATAGATAACATATCAAATGTTGAAAGTGAGACATTTAGAAATGTCATGCGAAATATTGGCTCATTTTGGATTTCATGAGAGCTACACATTCCAAAAAAGTTGGGACAGGTAGCAATAAGAGGCCGGAAAAGTTAAATGTAGATATAAGGAACAGCTGGAGGACCAATTTGCAACTTATTAGGTCAATTGGCAACATGATTGGGTATAAAAAGAGCCTCTCAGAGTGGCAGTGTCTCTCAGAAGTCAAGATGGGCAGAGGATCACCAATTCCCCCAATGCTGCGGCCAAAAATAGTGGAGCAATATCAGAAAGGAGTTTCTCAGAGAAAAATTGCAAAGAGTTTGAAGTTATCATCATCTACAGTGCATAATATCATCCAAAGATTCAGAGAATCTGGAACAATCTCTGTGCGTAAGGGTCAAGGCTGGAAAACCATACTGGATGCCCGTGATCTTCGGGCCCTTAGACGGCACTGCATCACATACAGGAATGCTACTGTAATGGAAATCACAACATGGGCTCAGGAATACTTCCAGAAAACCGTGCCATTCGCCGTTTCCGGCTAAAACTCTATAGATCAAAAAAGAAGCCATATCTAAACATGATCCAGAAGCGCAGGCGTTTTCTCTGGGCCAAGGCTCATTTAAAATGGAATGTGGCAAAGTGGAAAACTGTTCTGTGATCAGAC